CGGACTATACTAATCTAACTCCAGAACGGCAGGTTGGACCTCAGGTATGTTGAAGTAGACGACCTTCTTACCAAAATTTCAATTTTTCGGGAAATTCAAGAAACCTGCAATTTGATAATTAGGTTTTTTCGCAATGAGATTAACGATAATACAGATATAAAACAACAACACTTCTATATACAGTAAAATAAAATGCATTTAGCATTTATTGAAGTATATTCCACTGCGTGTCCTAATTCCCCACCCAGAAAATCCTATAACCTCCCTTTTCGTGGGAAAACATGCAGGGAGTAGGGATTAATGAGTGGACCTACATAAGCTACTGTTGCCCATCGATTGATTGATTTCCCATCCGTAAATCAGGCTTCAATAAACTAACGGTTCGTCTTGTTTCCGGCGTAGGCGATTATCTTGGCAGCTGCTATTTTGAAATCCTGATTTGCTTCGTAGATGTGGGCATCAAATCACGCAAAGACAGCTCATTTTCATGCATGCGCCATCCGAGCAGGCGTTCAGTTTGACCGCCGTAGTTGCAAGTACAGTTGGGGCATGGGATGCGATACGCTAACCCAGTGTGTCCTTTTTATTAAGTTTTTCTTTGATTTTAATCAACCTGTTGCACGTGGTAGTTTTGGTTCGGGTTTGAAAGGTCAGAATGATTGTTCCGGTGTTCGACAAGTCTTCTCCCTCTGTGGATAATTTCTTCTCCGACCACACATAAGCTATCACGCAGAGCATAGAACTAGACAGTGGTGGGAGGTCTATAGCCTGTAATTCGTAGTTCCCCACGCTGCGGCCCTGAGAGAAGTTTCTAGAATATCTGCACTGCATGTGTGAGCGATCGTCACGTGTGCTCGACGTGATGGCGTACGCGACCAGTCCCCGCAAATGACTCAGCTGGCGCGCGCTTCTGGCCATAGGCCCTGAGTGAATTGCCGTTCGTTTTTCTGCAATATTCAGTTAACTAAGTGGGAAACTGTATGTTATGGAAGACTTGTACAGTCCCCTCACAATTGGAAGCGCTAACAAGACAGGTGTCTTTGCGCTAAATTCCAGGGAAAAACAGGTTTTTGTTTATGGCTGGTGTGAGGGTGTTGTTGATGATTGTCAGGAAACTGTTTTGCAGGCCGATCTTGTTTCTGAACTTCATTTT